AGGAGGAGGAGGAGGAGGAGGAGGAGGAGGAGGAGGAGGAGAAGAAGAAGAAGAAGAAGAAGAAGAAGAAGAAGAAGAAGAAGAAGAAGAAGAAGATGTTGTCAACAACAAGGGACTTACCTCTAGCCCAAGTCTGTGTCCAATGCTGGGTTTCAGAGACAGCCATCCTTGGGAATACCTGGTAATTTACGGTTTCCAGAACCATATTTAGGCACAAGACCCAGGATGGACCCACCTTAAAGAGGCAGATTGGTGTGGTCCAGACATATAGACTCAGACTTTGGAGAGAAAATGGCAATTGTTGAGACAGTAGGCATCTGTACCCAGATGTGGGTCCTCAGCTTAGTTCCTTATGAATTAGGTATGAGTCCAGAGTGCCAGGTGGCTAAGGTGTCTGAGAAAACAGAACATGTGGAGAGATACCCAGACAAAGGTATGGGCACTGATCACAAGATTTCTCTAACAGAATGTAGCTCAGAAGGCGAAAACAAAGCATCTTCCCCACTGAAGAAGTTTGGCTCCTTGAGGAACCAGTACTGCAGCAGCAGGCGGCTGGTATCTGTAGGAACTGCTGGTGTCAGGCAATTTCAGCAGCCTGTGGGATGTGAAGACATGCAATAGATTGGGGCCAGAGCAGGTGAAAATAAAGCCAAGGACACCACAGAGAACTGCCTGAGCTTGTGTACATGTGCAACTCCTTTGGAGTTCTAGAAGTATCTGAGGTTGGAGAAGCATGGCAAAATAATAGGGTATAATTTAGTCATTACTGTGACAAAGTACTTGGCAAAAGCAATTCAAAGGACGAAGGTATGAGGGCCGGAGAGATGGCTCAATGGTAAGAGCACTGGCTGCTCTTCCAGGGGTCCCAGCACTCACTTGGTAGCTCACCATTGTCCTTACCTCCAGTCCAAGGGAATCCAATGCCCTCTTTTGACCTCCTTGGGCACCAGACATGGACACACAGGCAAACAAAACACCCATACATATTAACTAACTAACTAACTAACTAACTAACTAACTAACTACCTTAAAAAAAAGTTGTGACGGCTAATTTTAATTCTCAACTTGACACAAGCTAGAATCACCCAGGAAGGGCCTCTAATAAGCTCTAGAGCAGGTTGGTCTGTGGGAAATTATCACTGAGTTGGGAAAGAGCCTCCCACTGTAGGAGGCACCGTCCCCTAGGAAGGTGGTCCTGGATTGCTTAAGAGTCAGGAGAGCAGTCTGCTCTTGACTGTGGATGTAAAATAACCTGCTGCTCCTAGTTCCTGCTGCCTTGACTTCCCAGCAATGACGGGCTGTGATAATATCCTGACAAAGGTCACAGCAACAGGAATGAAACAAAGACTGAAGTGTTTTTTTTTTTTTTAATTCATTCTAAACAGGGCACCAGATCTCATTTCAGATGGTTGTGAGCCACCATGTGGTTGCTGGGAATTGAACTCAGGACCTCTGGAAGAGCAGTCAGTGCTCTTAACTACTGAGCCATCTCTCCAGCCCCATGACTGAAGGTTTATGTTGGTTCAGAGTTCAAGGGTACAGTCCACCATAGGAGATAAGGCATGGCCGTAGGGGCGTGAGGCGGCTGGGTACGCGTGTTCACGGTCAGGAAGCAGAGACAGATGGACGCTGGTGCGTGGCTCACTTCCTCCTTTCTATTCAGTCTATAATTCTAGCTCATGGAACCATGCCGCTCACAGGTGGGTCCCTCCATCTCAGCTAACCCACCTAGACACCCTCTCCCGTGCATGCCCAGAGATTTGTCTCCTAATTGGTTCCAGGTCCTGTCCCATTGGCACTATTAACTATGACACAAGAAGAAGGTGGCACTGGCCAATGAAGCCCCAGTTATATGTGTACACAAAACGGTATAGCGTAGTCCACAAAAACGGCCTCAAAGTCTCTGTTAGCTATTTTTCAAAAAGGCACATTTTTCTTAGGACTAATCCTTTAGATTTTGTATCACTTTATAATCAAAGTAAGGAAACAAT